TTAACGCGAAACAATGAAACGCGAATCGTTAAAAGAACTAAAACAAATTAGAACCGGTTGCTGCCTCAGACTCAGCTTTTGTTCGCATCTTCTAATTTTTTTATTCAACATTCTATCAAATACATACAACGAACGCCAGACGTCACTTCAAACTTGGGTTAAATAAAATTTAGCTCGTACGGGTATGGCACTTAAACTTGGAGAATACTTAAGTTTGCGGCTTTTAACCCGCAAGCGATCGGCTACACGCTTCATTCGTTTTATATGTAGCTATATAAATTTTAGTATGCGCATACATATGTATATATAACTATGTGCTACATATCTACTTATGTAGCTTTATTTGTTTGGCTATATTCATCACTCAACACGTAAAGTCCCCTTTTTAAACATTCGCATATTTTTTACCGCTACAAATTGCTTCAATTTTTCCATTCTTTGTTTGGCACTCTTAACAAGTTTATCGCTTTTGGCCAATTTATTTATTTTTGGGTTTTCTTAAAAGCGGATACAAGTAAAGCAAAATAATAAACAATTAGATAAGGTGAAACAAAAAAACTTAAGAATATCCCTAATAGTTGATACATTCATAAGTATGTACATTAGGGTCGTAAAAAAAAAGTAAAGTCGGAGTTTTAATGCTCGCACCCCCTAGGACTTTCCTATACCGAAAAAATATACCCCGGTTTGTTTTTATATTGAAATCAAAAAATTTTTGTAGCTCGCTCAAAGCGCTCAAAATTTTCCATGTGTTTTATTTGGGTGAAAATATTCTTCGTAAAAATGGTATAGAATTCCTGAAAATCACCGATCGGAAAACTGTTTCTCTTCAGGAGACTTCCAATAATAATACCGAATTTTTAGGATAAGCATTTTTAAAATATTAACTATTTTTTATATGTCCCCCAAAATCCCAAAAAGTGCAATGGAGGACCCATAAAAATCGTTAGCATAAAAGTAAAATTGTAAAATAGAGAATTGGGTATTATTATTGGAAGTCTCCTGAAATAGAATAGAGTTCTCCGAAAGAAAAATATTGATTTAAAAGAATTCTTTACCATTTCCACCAACAATTATTATTTTTTTCTTATATAAAATACACGGAAAACTTTGAGCGACTCTAAATATTTTTTGATTTCGAAGTAAAAAACAGGGATAATTTTTTTTTTGGTATACTACAATCCTGGGGGCGAGAGCATTACAATACCGACTTCACTTTTTAACATGCATTTTTGAACTACCCTAGTGTACATACCCTTTTACATACCTGTATACTCGTAAACTCGTACTAGTAATTTTATATGTATGTACATATTCGCTACAAGGAACAAAGAGATCAAGAATTATATTTGTCGATTAAAAAATATCTAATAGAATTAATGAAAAAATACTAAAGTTTGCAAGCACACAGTATTTGTACCGCAAGTTTCTTTAGTGTTTTTTCATGGAGGTATTTAGCATCCTGCTGTGTTTTATAACAATTATAACAAATTGTTTATTGATACGCGGAAAAATGCAATGTCAATAATGATGAATCAAATTTGCACGAAAACATTTGTAAAATGAAAAAGAAATTACGGAGATTTTCTTTGATCTTCCACGCTGAAGAGATGTTCGATATTTGCGTCCGGAAATAGTATTGATGACCCTTTTTTGAAAGTAAACGGCTATATCTCTCTCCAACAAAATGAATGCCTACCCTCTTTACCACTTATTATATTGATGTTGAATACCCCGAAGTTCTATAAGTTACTTTTGTCATATTGCTCTCCTCTCACCTCTTCACTTGCACCTTTAATCTCACTTAGCTACACTAAGAAAAAAGTAACATGATAAAAATACATGGAAAACTGGAGCGCTTTGAGCGACCTCTAAATATTTTTTGATTTCAAAATAAAACAAGTCATAAAGTATAAGTTCGGGCGGAGCCGACATTAAATAAATACCCGGCGCAATTATTAAATATATAATTTTCACCTTTCCGAAAGCTACCGCAACATGGAAGGCCGGGGTGTATCTACTTTGAGTAATTTAGCGTTCTTAAATTTCGAAATATTGAAGTTTCAAGCATTTCTGAAATTTACCATTATGTGAAAAGCGGCCTCAATTTTAGTCTGATTTCAATAATTTTCAACGTTCTGCTTTTATTTGGCAAGCACCGAGTTTGGTACAAATTGGTAGAACGGTTACCGAGATATATATATGTGATCATAAGTGGGCGGTGCCACGCCCATTTTCCAAAATTTTATCATAAACGTGTTCTGGGTAAAGAATTGTTTCAAGCATCAATTTTGAATAAATTAGCTTTAATATTTACTGATTTATCGAAGATTTCGTATTTCTCCAAATTACCGTTATATGGGATGTGGGCGTGGTTATTGTCCGATTTTACAAATTTTCGTCCATCCGTCTTGCGAAAGAAGTGCACGTACAAAAATATCTACATTTTGACTCGAGTTATCGTGTGCACAGACGGATGGACGGACGGACGGACAGACAGCCACCGCTTAATCGATTTCTCTTTTCATTCTGATCACTTACGTATACATTTGTCTATATATATCTTGATTCGTTTTACCTGTTACAAACAACCGTTATGTGGACGAAGTTATAACACCCTTGCGCACAAGTGCGCTCAGGTATAAAAACAGGGATATGATTTTGTTCTATATAGAACAATCCTAGGGGATGAGAGCATTACATTTCCGACTTTACTCTTTTTTGGACTCCACTATTGGACAGTCTAAAAGGAAGTGTGGAGATGATTACACCTCAACTTCCTCTTGACAGCTGATAAAAAGGGTTCAGTTGAAATTCCTAGTCTTACCGCGTGAATACCAATCGCACAATGGCCTGTCAGAAGCACCATCACTAGCCCTTCAGAAATAACGTTTTTTTCGGCACCTTTGAGGGGTAACGATGGGTCACTCGTGTTTTGCGCTGCAAAAAAAATTTAAAGAGCTCTATAAAAACATTTTCTGCAGCAGAAAAACGCCTTTTTTTCCTTTTGTATGCCACCAAAGGAGCACCGCTTTCTTTTGTCCATTTTTTAAGGTATTTAGTAGAGCACGAATTATGCTTGCTAGACTATGTTCAAACAGGCCAATTAAGCTTTAAATTGCGGAATTGAGTTTTGTGTTCACACATATGTCAGCTGCACAATTAGCGATACGAAATCAGCTGCTGGATTACTTACAGTGATGGAAAAGTTGATACAATCGTACCTTAGTTTAGTTTGAAAGTGCAATCGGTACAAACGCACAATTTTAGGTACATTTGGAACGTAGCCAAATAACTTCTCAGGAAATCAGCTCTTATTTTTATTGATATTTCAATGCATTTTCTGTTGCGGGCAACTGGTCTAATACCTTCCCTCCTTTGTGAAGGGGCATACAAATGATACAAAAAGGTGGTCAAAGTAACGCAACTGTAGTTGATTTCGCCAGATAGACGGAAAATATTTATTTTTTAACGTCAGATCGGAGAACATACCTCCAAGTCAAAATTTAACATACCTAGCAGGGTTGCATAGAGAATCAGACACAAATTAATTGCCAATTAATAATAAATTGGAAATTAATAAATTGAATTTTTGTATGATAAATTGGGTAACAAATAAGGCTTAAATTGGTGAAAAGGTTCTTAATTGCCAATTAGGCTCCTGTTTGAACATAGTCTAAGTCTAGCGCTCGCCCAGCTAACACTAGACCAAACGATCCAAGAGTGTACTGCAGTAGGACAGGGGCGTCCCTTGTTGCACCTTACCTGCGGATAACATTTTAAGGGTGCCTTTCCAACACTAGGTCATTAGCCACGCAGTTTCCCGCGATGTCACTGTGACCCGGCACCTATACTAGCCTTATTTAGAAGAACTTCGATGCGATTTATAAAGAGGACAGGCATTCCTTTAACGATTTCGGGCGCACCTTTTAGTAGCGAGTCTACCGCTTCCTTGGTGGCAGCTATTTTCACCTGAAAGACACTTCAGGAGTCCGGAAGCCTGAACATAGTTTTGGCAGTGAGTTTCCGACCACCAACCCTGTCTCCATGTTTTGATTCGTCCGTGAAAAAGTTTACCGCTCCCTTCTTCGAGAAACCCCGCCCTACCTAGTCCCGTCTTGAGGGAATATAGGTAGAGAAGGAGCTTCTGGGATCAATTTCGAAACTGCGACAGTTCTGTCTGCAATATCCGCGTGGTAAAGATGACGTTAAGCGCCAGTATAGGCTTTAATCTGGTTTTATAGAGTTAATGAATTACTTTGGGCGAGAGCTAGCCTTTAACCGATAGCTCCCCTACAACAGTACAAGGCAACCGATGCCTTTCTTGCCCTTTGCCCAATGTTAGGCTTCCACGACAGATTCCTATACAGGATCAAGCCTAAGTACTTGACCCTGTCTGAGAGCCACAGACGAAAGCCCCCACTTACGGTGGCCAGGCGTATTGATTTTATCAGCACAGTATTGATTTTCCAACTGCCATTATTAATTTAGTAATTTCTTCAATAAGTACACTAATGTACTGATGTTTTATATTTGTACTGATTTGTACTGAGTTTTTAATTCTGAGCATACAAATTTTTTAATAGTGGTCTTCCCACAAAGCTTGGTACTCGGTATCTTGGTGTTCGATAAATTTTCCCAAAAAAAAATTTAATCAATCTGAATTATTAGCCGACTGAAACTCGCACTTTATCTTAGTATGTTGAATTTTCCTAAATTTTGTATAAATGTTGAATTTTTGTTTAAATTCTGGTGGTTATAGCCCGAACAAAATTTGTATAAAAAATTAAAATCTTACCTTCAATAACATTAGAAATATTAAAACAAAAAACACTTTGTTAATGCTTGTTTGAATTGTTGTAATTTGGAGTAACTGTATTTATTTGGTTTCGTTAATTTGTAGCAACTCGTTTCGAAAAGAATAGAACTCAGGTTTTCCATGAGCCTTACATTTGATTTAATTTTATGTTAATCTTTTATTTTCCTATTTTTGATTTCAGAACACAAAATTTTCAAAACAGCATGAAGGGTTGGTTTGACGCATTTCGTGACGACGGTGGGCCCACACTATATTCATTTCCTAATCGAACACCGGTGACAGGCGATGTATCCATTGTGGCCGTTTCGGTTTTATTTGCAACAATTTACGTTGCTTTTCTAGTGATATTTCCGGGAGTGAGAAAACAGGTAAATATAATCCAAATGCGGACATTAAAGAATAACTCTATGCATGTATTTAGCTTAAGAAACTATCTTAATACCTAAGTAAATTAAAAAAAAAAACTGACTGCGTGTAGTCCCAACGCGCGGAAGAAGTGCAACTTAATCAAGACAATTCCAGAATGGCAGAAGTAAGAAATACATTCTCAAAGTGGCGTTAATTATTTAGCGCATACATCTCTGAATCCAATCAAGAAGTTTTATTTCAATAATTCACTTGTATTACTAAATAATTTGAAATTAAAAAGTGGCCACCCTTTTCAAACCTCCAATAATATTTTAATTGTTTCAACTTAACATTATTTCCTAAAACTTTTTCGTTTGAGACTAACATTTTAAAATTTCAAGTGGATAAATTCTGTATAATTTAACTAAATTAGACTTTTAAAACAGGCGGCAACCCTCTTCACAAATATTTTCAAACTAAAACCTTACACCTTTTTCGTGTGAGATTGTGGTACATATGGCCAAATCTCCGGAACCGTGTGCTTTTGTGTCACTCACCTTTAAATGAATTTTTTTATAAAATACCTGGGTCATTGGAAATGCATTAGACGTTGAGAAAAATATGTGCTACTTATTGGAAATAAACTGTAACAATTTGAAATCTGTCACTCGTAATTATCAAAAAGGTTATATTTTAAGTTCTTTTCCATTTTGCGCTTTCAGCGATTACTAAATTGTTCTTATTTGTTTATATACACATTAATTGCATATTCAAGAAAAAATTACGATCTTTTGAAGGTGTGTGCCTTTGAAAATATTGGAAATATAACAAATATTGCCTGAATAAGTCTTTGCGTGAACGGCTTCAAATTTCCCCTTTTTTAATGGCTCACTGACAGACTAAAACATTACAGGTTGGCATTGAGCGTGATCGTTAGATAAAATTCTTCATAAAGTTCGTTGAAAATGCTACATACATAAAATATTTTTTGTCCAAAATACGGCCATGAATATATGTATATGTGTGTATGTAAAGGAATTTCAAATCTTTGGGCAGTGCGGTTAACGAATTTTTAAATATTTACTCAAAAATGATATTTTCAATGGATCTTAAGCGGAAATTACTTTTTCGTAAAATTTGTAGTTTATTTACAACAGTGCACAGTGGCCAATTTTTGGAAAACCCTGGCCAAAAGTCCAAAAAAAAATTGGTGCATTCGTATGCATAACCATCTTATATTGAGGGCTCTACTGCGTATCGTTATGAGACAACAAGTCGATTCTCTTAAGGCATTTAGTGTTACAGGAGCTCGAAGTGACTGTTGCTAGCAATTCGCTCTAAACTTTTCGTAAATTAGAGTTTTCGTCGTTGTTAAAATCGTGGTATTATCTTTAAAAAAAGTAACAGTTTTCAAGTATCCGCTCATGGACATTGTAATCTAGAGTATGTAAAACATGTTTTTTCATTGTCACGCCATCTAAAAACTGACGTAAGACATAGATATTCACGGATTGATTTTTTTTGTTTACTCATTGTGATGGATTAGGAAAATAGTTACGAGAGTGGCCGATATGGGCGGTCTAATTTTCTTTTTCATATATATTGAAGTTTTTTCCATCCACCTTGGTTAAGACCACCTGCCACAAGCCGCCACTGCAGTTTGGACATCAGTTTTTATACGCGATTCTTAATTTTTTTATGTTTAAAAGATTTAAATTATGTAAAAAATTATTTCTGTCAAGATTTTGATGTTTTAAAGATTGGATGTTTTTAGAATTTAAATGATGTCAGAAAGTACTACTATATTAGAGTGCTCATCCATAGGCCTCTGATTATTGAATGGGCACCCTTGCCAATTGGGCGACTTTCCGAAGAAGCCCAAGAGTCAAGGAATAAGGATTAAAAAATATCGGCTGCTTGTAGCCTCGGACCCTGTCCTTTCAAGTTTACGTTTAAACCCACCAAAACACAATCATAAACTGTCGTCAGATGCCATTAAATTATCAAATGTTGTAAATGCGGATGCGGAATTGCCATCAGAAAATATAGATATGAGCTTGGATACTTCAGATGACTGCGAGTCTGATGGGGTATAAAATTGTTATCTTAAAAATATATTCCTGTACCAACAAATATGTATGTCTTGTTCATTGCTTCATTCAAAGTCCCGCAGTTCCCGTGTAAATTTGAACATCAAGATTTTTAGAAACAAACATTAAGACCCCGTTAGTGTTTGTCCGAGCTTCACTTCCGATTTGTGGCGTGCGCCTTGATGTTGGCACACAAAGGAGAGGGACCAACAGTTTTACGCCGAATCCGGATTTTATTTTTATGAGAAGCTGTTCTTCGTGCCTGCCAAAGGGCGACTTTATTACAAAAAACTTGTTTGTTTCTTATTTTTTGATGTTGGTCGGAAACTGGGTTTGAACCCAGGCCCTGCGGAATGATAGCGTATATTGCTAACCGCTACATCACATTATATAACAAAAAAAGCAGAAACCATGACCTTTTATTCTTAACTACCTTAGTTTTGCTAAAAATCTGATTATTTTAAGCTGCAGCCATTGTGGATCCGCCATTTTGAATTTCAAAATTATCTGGTGAAATTTAAAACCAGAAACCAAAATAAAGACGATTACACAAGGTTTGATTACAATTGTACCACGCTTCGACTTTTGGCCAGCTTTTTCGAAAAATTGGCCACTGTGCAGTGTCCAGTGAATCATTTTGGGGGAGAGGCCCAAAGATTTCCAAAAACTCGTTGACAAGCAAAGAAACCTTTGTGCGTTGTAACAAGATTTACCCCAAGATATTTCGCCTCACTAGAAAAATCCATTTTTGTACCACCCGCTGGCTTGAATGGGTCGATCCTAAGGCCGCCTTAAAACTGGATATTGGTGTAAAGTCTTTGAAATCTTCGTCTATCGTTTAGTGTGATACGGCAAGTATGTCAAAGGTATCAGAAATGCTTGACAAGTATGTTTCCACCAGTGCTTCTGACGTTTCCCTAACGTCTTTGAATATTTGACCATTCTGTTTTCAAATAAATGAAGGGATTGGCGGAGATTCAGCTAACAGGTACAAAAGTTATGGGACATTTTTATTTGGTGCGGCAAATTTTTATGCTCTCTGAAATAACACCTCAAATTAAGTATTTTAACACACTTGAATGGAACAGTCTAAATCAAAGACAATCAACGAAGAAAAATGACAACAGCGTTGAATGGTGAGATAAAAGGTTTCCGCGACGGAAAACATGGGCATATCTTGTACAGGTATACCAGCAAACACAATAAGTTAAGTTAAGGAAAATTTCATTATAAGAAAAGTTAAAAGTCTTTTGCCCTTAACCGAGTGTAAAATGTACAGTCATTTTGAAATCTGCATTGGAAACTGATTAGAGAAATGAATTGGAATTTAAGTGGAGAACTAACAGCCCAATGCTGTAGTTAGAAAATAGGAATAACAAAATTACCAACTAATCGATAACTAACTTCAGTGTTTGCTGGGATATATGCATGTATGAGTAATACATATGTATCAATAAGAGACACATTTAAATGTAGTTCTTAATTAATTTGTGTTTTATATCTTTAGTTTACTTATTTTATTTTAAATATGGAGAATTCTTTTCAAACCAGCCACCTCCTGCTCAGTTTTCTTGGGGGAAAAAATGTTTTGAGCACATGCAAAAATTTATCTAACCTCAAAATAACTGTCTGAATTGAGTTGTGTCGCAAAAAATGCAGATTTTTCGCCAAGAATGGTCGAGGAAAATAAAACTAATCAAATGAATTCAAAAAATAACTTTTTTGATGGTGCTTTGTAGTCGCTAAACAAGAATCCGAGGTCAGTTTTTAAACTGGAGATGGCGGATCCAAGATGGCTGACTACATTTTTGTAATTTTTTACGGATTTCTACAAAATTATATGTAGGAGGGCATCTTGAATTTAAAAACTGACATCGAATTCTTGTCCAACGAGTCCAAGAGGGCCCAAAATATTGATCTGCGAAATTTATTTGGATATTTTTGTTCTTTTTAGCAACACGTTTCTCTTTAGACAGTTATTTTGAAATTTTTGAAAAATTTTTGTTTTTCAAAAGATCAGACGTCATTAAAAATTAAACTTTATCACATTTTCTTCATGTGCTCAAAACATTTTCGCCCCGCAAGAAAAATGGGCACGTCGGGTGGCTGCTTGGAAAAAGATTTTCCCCCATTCATATATTTTTTTACATGCAAGTAAATCTTTTCTTACATATGTATGTACATTTGCATGCTGAATACTTATTTATTATTTTTTTTATATTTTCCAGAAATTCACCACATTTTCGACAGTCACACTCAGCTTGTTCGTGGGCTTAGTCATACTAAGTGAGTAGCAATGCAATATTTTTTATATACAAACAAATATAGATATGTACATAAATATGTATGTATACACAAAGAAATCCCAAGCACTGTAGCAAAAATCCACAGCTGGCTAATATAGGCGCCTGCGCAAAGGTGCGACCGAACTGCGTGTGATTTATGCTAGCTAGCACCTCTATTTATTTGTTGTTATTTATTAAAATTTTGTTTGTTGCTTTTTTACTTCTACAAATGACCAACTATTAAATCATTAATTTGTATGTTATATTTGGATATAATTTTCGTGCTTATTTTATTTATCATATTTTCTTTAATCCACACAGTTACGCGACTGGGCTCCGCATGGCATGTGGCACACACAACCATCATTGCGCCGTACAAGGCGTTCTCGCGTGAGAAGATGCCGTCGCGGATAGGCACGCATATCGGCCTCATGCACGTCAATGTGACGTTGACAGGTAAGCGAAAGTGGTGAGGGAAAAGACGAAGGGGGGGAAATTAGTGGGAGTCAAGCTGGCACATATTATGTACAAATGTATATATATGTATGTGTAAGTTTATATTGCATGTTTTGAAATATGTACATATTTATTTGTTTTTGACTATGCAATATTTAATAAAAGCGTTGCAGAAGGTATCGTTTATTGCGTGCCAAAAATTGAGAGTTTGCAATCTTCTAAAGCTACTTATATAATGAATATCATATTAAAACAACAGCGAACATGGAGCCTCGTAGGTGGCATCGATGAAAAATTTCTATGTAGCTATTAATTTCTTGAATAAAAATGGATCTTGACTAGTACCAAACTGATTTGATAAATTTAAGTCTTGCATAACTCGCATTTTTCTTTTTCATATAAGCTAGTGACAAATTTTAACCGCAACACCGCGATTTTTTTCTTCTTCTATATTGGTGCTGTAACCGCTTAAGCGATTTTGGCCGAGTCCAAAACAGCACGCCAGTCTTTTCTCTTTTGGGCTAACATATGCCAATTGGAAATGCCAAATGAAGTCAAGTCCTTCTTCACCTGGTCTTACCAACGCAGAGGAGGCTTTCCTCTTCCTCTGCTCCCAACATTGGGATTAGCGTTAAGTACTTTCAGAGCTGGAGCGTTTCTGTTCTTTCGAAAGAGATGGCCTAGCAAGCGTAACCGTTGAATTTTAATTCGCTATATCATTGTAAAGTTCATACAGCTCATCGTTAAATCGTCAGCGGTGTTCGCCATCGGCAACGCGCAAAAGGCCTTAAATGTTTCGCAGAATCTTTCAAAAACTCCATGAGCCGGATGATCAGATGTTTCATCGTCCATGCTTTTGCGCCATATGTATGTATATCAGCACGGGTAACTTGAAAAGCGTGATTTTTGTACGAGAGAGGAGTTTACTTCTCAATTGCCTACTCAGTCCAAAGTAGTACTTGTTGGCCAGAGGGATTCCTGTACATACCCATTAGATTTGTTTATCTATCTAATTCCTAGAAGGTTGAACAGATACCGATTTCGTGAATTCGCCCTGGTTTTGAAACCTTCCGTTAGCCACCTAACTCTCTGGCCAAATTTTCGTGCCATTTTCCTGTGGGCCTGCAGTGGGCAGTGGGAAGAACTTGGGCGAGCCTAGGATATTGACCAAAAAAATTTTTTAAAGCATAGTGAACCATATTTTTGCTATTACCAATCAAAATTCTAAAAAAAAGTAGATTTTCGGCCCACGCTAGTGTTTATAGCCTTATACTGAAGCTTTCGGTGCCCCTTCCCCATCATATTTCAAGCCTATGCCAATAATATGTGCCCTGAAATTAACCCTCGAAGGAAGAATCAAAGCGAGAGGTTCCTGATTTAAAGTGATAGCCAGGCTCAAGGCTCTCTCATCCTTCGAGATCAAATCCTCGGTGGTTTTGGAGTGTGTAGAGAGGCTTAATGCCCTCGGTGGTTTTGGAGTGTGTAGAGCGGCTTAATGCCCTGGCTGAGAATAATACCATAAAATTTCTACGGGCACCAGGGCACATGGGAGTCGAAGGTAATGAGGAAACGGATAAACTGGCGGATATTCGGCCCACGCTACACTAAGGCTTGTTTGAGTAACCGTTCCGCAAAGCCTGGGTTCAAGCCTGGTTTCCGACCAACACCAAAAAAAAAAAAATAAAAAAACAAAAAAGTTGTTTCTAATAGGCTAGAAATGGCAAACCTCCGACGGTATTTCTGCCTTGAAAAACAGATTCTCATAAAAGTACAATTGTGTAAGCGCCAATCTATTATTATTATTATTAAATAGAAATACATATGTATATATGTACATTCGTGTACAAAATGTTATGAAATCATAAACCCATTGCGTTATGTTAGATATATTTTGACATGTACATCTTTTAACACTAACCAATTGAGCAATAATATAAATTTCGAAATCATATCACAAAGTCTACTTTATATTTGCCAATAGTTTCCTTTATAATCACTTTTGCCACGCTCACTTAATAATGGCTTAATAAATTAGCATGCCAATGCGAACGCACTGATGAAACCACAAAGAAAAAGAGAAACATTGTTGTAATCAAACAAAATGATGCAAATCGCTGAATGAAAATTTCACACATAAATTTGTATTATATTCAAGCTTATCCGCGGCAATAAAATCATGACTAAACATTGTTGCGATTTCGTTAAAAACACAAGGTGTTCCAAGTGTAAACAAGATACCCGTCAAATGTTAAACCACATTGCGACAAGTGTGTAAATATTTGCATTGACAAAAAATATTGTAATAAATCATTATTATGAGTACCATGTGAGATTTCGCTTTGAAGAAGAAAGGGATATGAGTTATAAATATACAGACATTAATTTGAAGAACGCGGTGAAGGAAATTCTTTTTAGCTATGTCAGTGTACCACTTTGTAAAGACATATGTAAATGCAGAAAGAATACGATTGTACCTTACTACCATCGTAGAAAATTTGTCACATCATGAAAAAATACATACAAAATAAAATTTACTATGCCTTTACGGTTTAGACCACCATCACTATACTCCAGCAATATAAATGAGTTTATGTTAGTCTTAGATAAAATACGGGCAAGAGATTTTCCAGGCCATCAAGCCACAAGTCCTGTGGCCACAGATCCATGACTCGTGGACCACAAAGTCAATTACCTAGCTTGAGAACAGATGACTTACGAGCGGAGCATATGCTGATTTACTATGAGGTCAGGTTAGCTTCCTCGTTCCTGATATACTCACAATCCAAAAACTGCTTCCTTATAGATGCTTTTGAGTTAAACGATTCTTAATTCATCATTGGACTTGACCTAGTCAACGTAAATGTTATGATCACTGGATGGCTCTTCCCAAAGGTAATGGTTGACCTTTTGTCTAGTCATTTATTATTAAGAAGTTAGACTTCCTGCATTGTCGCTCGGTCCGTTTGAACCTCATTAACCACTCTCCAGTTATGAGTGGGTGTGCCTGCTTTGAACTCGGGAATCATCTCCAAGATTTTTGTTAGGTCCCCGATGGTGTACCTGGGTCGTGATGACATATTTATCTCGTGGTAAAACTACTTTCAGGCAAGCTCCTGGGTAAACTTCACTTACTTTGCTTCCTAGATATCTGCTGTCATCGCAAGCATCTAGTTTAATATTCCCCTGAAACCAGTCAGCGTCTGTAAATGCCAGAACGGGACTGGATAATATAGCTTAATCTGCAGCGCTACTTGTACTCCTTCAACTAGGGCCCATTTCCATAGGTTCCTGGAGATTTCTTCGTAGTTTTGGTTTTTGACGCCTATGATCATGCGATATCTTACTATCTCACTATACTATATTCGCCTCTTTCACCATAGCCCTCCTTCGATATCTGATCGATGATGTGACCGGCCGACGAAGAATTTTGGCTTTAGAATGATGTGCCCTGTTAAAGTCCGGAAGAAGGCAGAAAGTTGTGCTGAATGCCTTCCGGCAATTTTCACTTTTGTAAGTGGTGATAGACTTTGGATTTCTCCTACCCGCAGATACCTTGGTACTAATGTTGGTGGCTATGGTTGCACCAGTTGTATGCTTTTGTTGTGTTACGGTAGGAGAGCTTGGTAGTTGCGGCTCTTGTCTGCCTTGTTAGGTGCGTCGGTCTGCCCTTTAGGGAATGTTGAACTTTTATGTTCTTTGTGTCCCTCGTCCGGGAAGAGAGGGGGTCTCCGGTTCAGGCTAGAAATGCTTCAGTAGTTGCACGGTATCCAAAGTAATTATTTTGCTACTGGGATTTGTGAACGGGTCCAGCTAGGCTTATATTTGGTATGAATCAAATGGCATCTTTATCCCGCATTTAAAACAGTAAGGCAAGGCGTTCTAAGTTAGCTTTGGATAAGGGCCCTTAGAATCAGCAGAAAAGGCGTTGCAGGCGTTCCCAAGAAGAGGCTCCTTGTTGTACTGAGGTGGTGCTAGTCATATAGGTGACAACACCTTCGTTCCGACATTTTTTTCATGTCGCGTGCGTACAAAGAGATGTTCCTAATCAACAAAGCGCCAATAATGCCTAAAGGTGGGGCACGATTAGGGTTGTTATTACAGACAGGGGACGCACTTGGACATTTACGGGATGATACCGCATACATATGTATATCTGAAAGGAGACCATTACTTAATCGACTAGAAGCTGCGAGCCGACTACGAGTTTTCGAATGCGGATAAATCCAATGCTCGAGAGCTTCGCAAGGCAAGTTAGGAAGTTTGAGCCACAATGTTTCCACCATAACCTCGTGAAAGCTGCCCAGGCTAATATAAGGTTCTGAGGTGAATCCACTTCATCATTCTCTTGGCAGCTGCTACAGGAGGGATCAGGAAAGATTTCTAACCTTACTGCGTGAATGCTTACGGCATTTAAGCCTGTTAAACCTCCTACCAACAGCGAGAACTAAAGCTTTGCAAGCACACCTAAAAGTTTTGATCCATCCGTAAGCAAGTTCAGTACTCCCTTCTTTCAGCCACCGCGCCTCACCTAGTCATTCCTTGAGGCAATGTATGTAGAGAAGAAGGTACTGCGAGCAATTCCGAAGGCGCAGTAATCTGGATGATCACTAATGAAATCAAAGTGCTCCGGAACTTCGGAGTTTCCACTTTTCGAAACTGCTACCATTACGTTTTCCTAATAGCGGTTCGGTAGTTCTGCTTGCAATATCTACCGATGTTATGTTCAGCCTGTCGCTAAGCTCCAAAATAGGAGTTATTCTTAGTGCTCCACTAATACCGATTAGGGCAATCCGTTGCGCATGCTCAGGCACGAAAATGTAAAAAAGGCCACTACTTTATAATATTTATGAGTGAAGGTTTCCTCTATGCAGTTTACTGTTACATGTGGACGATATCTACCAACCATCTATTGCAATAATTGAGCTCTCGAAGAATTGTCACGAGGATTCCCATTTCTTATTGGCAGCTCAATAAGACTATCTCACGTTTTGAGCAAAACC